AATATATATATATATATATATATATATATATATATATGGGAAGATTTAGATAAATAACACTCATGAATTTATGGCATGAAATTTATATATCTAACATCAAAATTTCAAATTTTATGAAAAGATATATTTCACCTATAGTTGAAAAGATATATAAGATATATAAGTTGGCACCTCACCTGTGTATGAAAAGATATATTTTATGAAAAGATATATAAGAAAATGGAGTTTAGATGTTAGATATATAAATACATAGGGATTTGGTGGTATGTATGTAATTGCCATTATATGTGTGTGTGTGTGTGTGTGTGTGTGTGTGTGTGTGTGTGTGTGGGGGGGTGTGGGGGGAGAGAGAGAGAGAGAGAAAATGATGGCAAAAGTAAAGCTAAGAGCGTTAGTTTTTATTTTTGGAAGATTTACATACATACCACTCATAAGGTTTTATTTGATTTAAGTTTTTAAGTCATCACGAGCATTCAAGTTATCTTAAATTATTAAGTTTAAAAGGTTAATTAACTTCTTAAAAAGTTAAATCATAGCATTTTTTGTAACATGAAAGATTGGAGTGGACTAAAAAGTATAATTCAGGTGTTAGATATGTAAATACATATGAATTGGGTAGTATGTATGTAACCATCCCTTTTTAGCATAACATGATAAAGATGAAAGGAGAAGTCGGATAATCAAATTAGCGTAGTTACCATAAATGTCCAGTGAGAATCCTTAAGGTCATAGTTTATAGACTGACATGTTTCATCAAAAATTGACTCGAGAGACTTACTCTTTTGAGAATGCATTTCAATTTGCTGCTCATAATGAGAAATAGATTAGATCACAATCTCTTAAAATAATTACTAAAAAGTAGTCATAGTAATGACTCACATCTTACTTGCGCCTCATTCACTCACAAAGAGTCCAATAATCCCAAGGAAAAGAGATTGCATATGGCAAGACTAGCCACAATGCAAGTATTTACTCTAACTATTTGGTTTGTTAAAAAATGAATGCAGTATGATTAAAATGCAGTGTGTTTAAAATATATTGGAGTTATTTGGTTCAATGTAAAACAAATGCAGAAGTCAAAATTTTGATGCTTGGCTTGAACAATAATGAAATCAATATAAAACACAGTTGATAGTGGTGACAGCCTGCAAGCATTGACAAATGATGGATGGCGACAAACGATGCCCGGAGACGGACAATCGCGGTTGCAACAGTGGCAATAGTAACAACTACTGAGGGAAAGCGGTGGGCTATGGGTAGCAAAGACCGTGCAAGGTGAGTGAAGACGACCAATGAGTGATAACAGTTTGTGAGTAGCAATGGCCAAGCGAGCAGCAACGTTGTTGCCCACCTTCGAGTTATTTGATTTGATATAAAATAAATAAATAAATTTCATTTTAGTATTTAATTTGAAGAAAATAAAATTAATATAAAACACGGTTGATAGTGGCGTCAACTGGATGGCGGCTGGCGACAAGTAGTGCTCGAACATGGACAGTTATGATGGCAATGACGACAGCAATGGGCGGCACGAGATGACAAGTTGTGGTGGCAGTGATGGTTGGCGAGTAGCGGCGGCCAGTTAGCGAGCAGCGGCGTTGACGGTGACTAGCCTTGTTTTATTTGAAAATCACTCAAATCTAATGAATTTGGACCACACTGATTTTGAACGGCAAGGTGAATTCCAAATTCATCGAAATATTACACTATATTTTGCTTTTTATCAAGCTAAACACCAAAATTTTAAAAATCCAGTTATTTGATTTGCTTTACATAAAAAATTTCTCAAACAAAACAGCTTCTTAGTGAAATCCATCTAACAGGGAGGGTAGACCAGCTTAATAAACAAATTAATGATCAGGTTGGAGTGAATACAACAAAAAGCTTGTGATATCAAAGCATTGAATGGGTACCATGTGGTTGTTATACAGTGTGTATTGATTATCCCATATTGACTATCCCATAGGCCACAAGCTAATAACAACTGGAAGAGCACATAAAATTTTCTACAATTATTTTCAGAGCAAAGACAAGTGTGTAAACAAATTATCAATAGTAAAAGTGCCTGAATATTACTGCCACCTCTGTTTTGGCCAGGATGAAGCTAATCTCTGAGCCTCACCCACAACCGAACAAGGTCATTTAGGTAAATAAGACAACCATTTCTATCTTTTATTGTTATCTTGTACCAATTTGGCTGGAAGAATATAACGATAAGATTTGATGTGATATCCTTCCAATAAATGTTGCACACATACTCCTAGATAAGCTCTGGCTTTTGGCATGAATGTCACAAATTATGAAGATTAGATATGACTTCAAGTTTCAGGATAAGTGAAATGTGCTAGCTCCCATTAGACCAAAGGAGAATGCACTGCCGTAGCCACAAAAATTCATCTGCCCTTTAGGGAAAAAAATCCCTTCACATTGCTAGTATATATGAATTTGAGCAAAAGGTCAGTAGTATATCATTTTTACCCTAGCTGGTTTGACTAAACTTGTAAATGAACCAAATGTTACACAAACTACTGATAACTTGGCCTGATAAGAGGTCACTCATGCTTGTTTTGATTAATTAATCGAACAAACTTTGACATTTATGTAAATACTCGATAGTTAAATGAATAAGTTTGAATAGTTTATTACTTGATTGAATTATAATCATGAACAATATTATTTAAAACACTTGAACAAAGTCATTATGAAGCTTAATTAAAATTCAATACATAGCTCAATTAATGCTTTATACAATACTCGATATAAAGCTTAATTTATAATTGAGTTAAAGCCTAATATAAAAATATAACCAAGATATTAATTTACTTTAAATAAAATAAAATTACAGCATACTTTAAAATTAAAGTACTTTTAATATCTAAATAAAGATAAAAAAAATAAACAGTATTAACAAAATAAATCTATGTTTAGAATTAAATGAAAATAAACTAGATTAAAAAAAACTAATTTACAAATCAATTAAAATGAATATATATTTATATATATATATATAATGTTGAAAAGTCATCAGATCAATAATTTTGGATATGAAAAATAGATGTAACGAATTCATTGCTTGTAATAAAATATCTCTCCCACTAATTTATTACTTATAAGGAAATATCTCTCCCACGGATTCATATACAAAAAAAAAAAAAAAAAAAAAAAAACAAATTTTTCTCGTAATATCACTCAATGATCTCTACATAATCAACTAAAGGAAATATCCAATGAAAAAATGAAAGCTCAATTTTTCTGGCCATTTCTTCTTCTATATCATCGATAGAACATTTGTTCTCTTTATTCTTTCTCCAATTCATTTTTAGTCGAAGTTATTCTTCCCTCTCATTATGTTTGATTTCTTTAACTTCCCTTTCAAGAAATCAACCATCATGAATGGCAAAAATCAGACTAAAGAAGAACTCCAGAAACTTCGAGCTTCATATCACTTGAATGAAAGAAGTTATATGAAGTGATCCTAAATTGTGCAAATTTTTTTGAAAGGAAAAGGAAAGTTCCAACACCTTGTGGATCAAAATGTAAAGTTGAAAAACCCAAATTCTATACTTTGGAAAGAAAATGGCTCCATGATCGTGATATTGTTGTGTAATAGCATTATGTCGAAAATCAGTAGCTCATACATGTTCCTATCTACTGTAAAAAATGATTGGGATAACGTAAAAAAAAATTACTCAAAAGTCAAAGATGTTACACTTATCTACAAGATCAAAATGAAACTCTTCACTAAGTAATATTCCTCTCATTGAATATGGCAATGATAAGAAGGTTTACTAGCTTTAACAAATTATTATCATGATCTCAAGATGTTGTGTTTTAAAGATACAATCCTCATACAATTTATGGAAAGAGAAATTATTTGAGTTTTTTGAAGGACTTGATAATGAGTTTAATCAAGTTTGAGTCCAAATCTTAAGTGGAGAAAACCTCCCTTCTTTACATGAGGTTTTTTGTCTTATACTAGCTCAGGAAGAAAAAAGAATTGTGATGTTCAATAATCAGATCTCTGAAACATCGGTCAAGATGACCACTCAAACTGAACGTTAGGAATCAGCTCCTACAAATTCTTCTCCCAAATAAGAAAAAAAAGTTCTCACCTCAAAAGCAATCTCCAGTGCCACTATTGCAGGAAAGAAAAAGCATATCAAATAGGAATACTAGAAGCTTCACGGGAATCCCCAAAGCTATGATGGAAACAAAGAAGGAAACAAGAAAGGACAGGTCTGCCTTGAGGAAATAGACAAACTCAACTAGACCAAGATTAATGAACTAAAGAATATTCTCAATTCAAGTATAACTCATGTCCATATTGCCACTAGTTATGATCCAAAAAAAGTCAATCGAATTTGTTGATCTGCATATTTCATATAAGTCAAGTGTATTTGCACCCGCATTCGTATAAAGTATATGTATATTACATTATGAAATCAATCGAATTTGTTGATCTGCATATTTCATATAGTCATTCGTATAAAGTATATGTATATTACATTATGAAATTCTACAAATACCATTTGTGAGTCATGATAAATACAGATCTAATGTTCATACACACAAATAATATGTAGAATTTAATATATAAAATTTAATGAGAAAAACTAAGTTTTATTTGATGTTATAATCGAGAGATTTTCAATTGAAACTCTAAAGAAATTTGACGTCAAGAAATACAATCCCAGTAGGGTTGTGAAAAAAATAAATGTTAATGCGTACGAGATGGACCTTCTAATAGATGTTAGAATTTCTCTACTATTTAATATGTCAAATTTAGCATTATACTATTGGAAAGCCCCATCTATCATAACTCCTTCTACAAATAATACTTAAATATTCATCTCATTTCTTAAGGATGAAGGACCAATTTGCCATCATATCTGATGTTGGCTTTCAAGGGTTCCTAATTCAGTGGTAAGATATTTATCCACTTGAGGATTTATGGCTTATTTTTATTAAGAGCCCACAATTATAATAAGTAAATGGATTTCATTCTCAAAAGAAAAATTCTTCAAAGCTAAGGGTAGCTAATGCAAAGCAACATCATAATCATCATCATTGTCATCCTAAAGCCTAATTTTCATGTATGTGGTTGTATATGTTTATTTTTTTTATTTGGCTCATATATTATTGAGTCTTTGAGTCGTAATAAATTTAAGTCAATTTGTATTAAAGCATTCTTATATCGTATATGATAATGAGCCTTTCCCTTATTGGGCTTTGTAGTAGGTGTGGAAGGGATTGTGGGTTTTGTCATAGGTAAAATTTTAGTGGTACGGTTGAATTTTGAGGTAAGCACACGTCTTTAAATCTTTTTCCCTTATTCTTATAAATAAAGAGCCTCTTGCAATAATAAAAACTTAATCATCAAATAAAAGTGAGCTTAATAAGTTTTCAATATTTTTGTATACATTTGCTCCGAAGTAAATGACCACTTAAGCATATGAATTTACAACTTACAAATTACTTCTCATAAAGGAGATTGATTTAACAGCAAATTGTTCGTAAAGATTGACTTAAACATATCCCTACTTCACAATCATTGATTGTCTCTCAAATTATCCATAGCTTTCTTTCTTTCTTTTTCCTTTTTATTGTTGTTGTTGTTTTCTTTCATAATAATTAAACAACTAAAGTGATTAACAAAATAATAGCTTGAATCATCTCACCATAATTACACTTTTATTATCATGTATATGCACAAGAGTAATTATATGTTTATTATTCTTCATTTGTAAATAAATTAAAGAACAATTAATGTAACCATCTAGTTTGTATTTATCTTACAGTAAATTAAACTCATTCAATAAAATTATGCAATTGTACTACATCAAAAATTCAACAAATTGCCCTTTCAAATTAATTGTTATTGTAATCACTTATATTGAATTGTGATTATATTATACAATTTCAATTTATTTTTTATTCTAACCACTTGTGCTAAAATGTGATCGTATCTCACCGAGTGGAGCGATCCACTCCATTTGATAAGGCAAATAATAGCTTGTTAAAAAGACGAAAAATGGCATGGTCTAAAGAGCCCATGCAAATAGCAAGGAGTTTTTTTTAACTATTACAATCAATCTTCTTTTTCTTAAGGAAGATTAAAAAAGAACTTATTTGCAACTTCTATTTGCTCATTTATTTTAGGACGATGTAAACAAAGATGAACCTCAAATAGATCTCCTCATCTTCAAAGAATTTCAGCAAAGTCTTGCCGTTATGAATGGTGATCAATATGAGAGCACAATTTTATATGATGATGCGCTTGACTAAGCTAAATGCAAATTGTCAATACCATAACCACTTTTATATGTAGTTCAACTCAAGGAAGTTTCAAATGATCCTCATTGTATGGAGGTCAAATCCTTCACCTCAATCCAATTGGTTAAGTAAAACACCATTTCTAAACATTTCTAATATATTTTCAGCCCTCTCCTTGTGTTACAATTTGAGTGAAATTTGGGGAAGCTTTATAAACAATTTCAATAGTTTGTACTCATCAAAATGATCAGTTTCATGAAGCACACGATAGCTGAGTGCTCTTTTCAATTTTTTATAGTGTGACAACATGTCCTGAATTAATTTGTAGCAAAATTGCATCGATCTATTGATTGTTGATTTTACATTTAATTGAATCGGCCTGCAAAAACATATTAAGTTTAACAACAACGCTACTTAGCAAAGCACCACTACTGAAATGCAACGTTATCAATATTATAACTTCCAATATTGGCAAAGTTTTACTAAGTTCAAGCAAATGTTCCTTCCGCATATACTTTTAATGAGGGCATTGCCTCCCACTAGCCCTTGAACAACATATTCATCATTCCTTAGTACGTGACACTTGCATTCATGATGAAAAATAACAAAACATTAAAAAATAAAATCCATCATTAGTTTATGAAATTATCCTTTTCATGGTATACTACATGCATCCCTATCACTAACCACAGAATATGTCAATGGAGCTCAAAACATGGAACCCCACAGACAAGTTAGATTGTCAAATAAGTTAGGTAGACCATTTAAGCCGTAAGCATAACTCTTTAAATTCCTTATTGGGATGACTCAAATGGAAGTAATTTGAAATAAGTTGGCCCTAATCACTTGATTATCTTATGTGTCAATGGCATAGTACATAAATTTAGGTTGGTCCAAATCAAATTTCAATAGTGTTATCATAAATAAGAAATCAATTGAAAATATTTTTGATCCTAGAACTTTCTCGAGAAATTTAGCACAAATAATATTTTGTTTGGTTTGCGTTTAACTCAAAACTCAAGTGAGTTTCTATGTTAAACTTTTATTGGATAAGAGTCGGTCTAATTGACCTTATTGGATGATAGCCCAACAAAATCTATCAGCAATGAGGGATTAACCCATGTCCATTATAAATTTTAGATGGTTTAATTATGTGTATAAATAGGTTTGGGTGGCCTATTTAGTACATCTATGGCCAAGTTTATCATCACATTTGTGATAAGTTTATACCCATCTTTCGAACATGGCTCAAAAAAGTTTTGAAAAATGTAAGGCATACTCCACTTACAATTATTCTTCTTAAGCATAAGAATATGAAAGGACAACTCAATATCATAAAACTATTAAATTGTGAATAGACGCCACTGTAAAAAACTTATAGTAACTCTTAAATTTATGTCACTATCTCCATAGCAATTTTTCAGTTTCTATCTTTGATTGGCTTGCTCGCCTCATAGATATGTGATGACAAGCCAACATTACCATCCGCTCCAAGCACCTTTGTCCTCTACCAAGCAAAAATGTGAATGCACTTTCTAAGCAGAATGACAAGGTTCTCCTTGAACTTCCCTTACATCAAGATGTTGATTTTAAAAGTGCACACTTTATCCTCATTGTCAACATGGATCTTATTAGCTTTCTATTGGCCTATAAGCTCTCCCTTTTTTTAAGACCAAGCCAGAGCAAGATATTTCATCAGACTAATCAAAGGGACAAAGTTGCCTATAGGTATAGTAGAGCCTTCCAGGTCTATGATGAGATTGTGAAGTCAATGGCTATTATGTATGAAAGGGGAGTGAAAATTTAAGGGCATGGCCAGCTTCAACTATAGGATATAGACTATAAGAACCCACAACCAAATTTCGGATCACCCATCCAAAACATACCACAATCAAATCCAAACGCTCCTTCATTTATATAGAAGCCAATTACTCTAACAAGTAGAGAGCTCGTGTTGGCTTGTTAAAAAATACCACCGTTCGTGTTCAGCTCGTTTACATTTCGAGCACAAAAAATGTGTTCATTTTCGGCTCGTTTGCTTAGCGATCCGAACACAGGCTGTTCACGAACAAAGAGTCGATTTGACGGCCATAGTCACGCAGTCGTAGGATGTTAACAGTTGGGGTGAGATTTAAATCTTATTATTTATATTAAAACATCATTCATATACAATTTAATATATCTTTATTCTATTTTTTAATTAATACTTTTAATTAATTATGAATCTTTGTAGACTTGTAGTCAATTAATTTTTTAAAAAATATTGTTCAATAATTATTTCGAGTTAAAACGAGTCGAACACGAACGAATAAATTTTTGTTCGTGTTCGGCTTGTTTATATACTGAGCGCAAAAAAATTATTTGTGTTCGGCTCCTTAACCTATCGAACAAATCAAACACAAGTTTCTTAACGAGCAGAACACGAGTTGTTCGCAAACAACGAGCTGTTTTGACGGCCATGCTAGCAAAGGCTAGCCAATATTCACCAGAGGTCATCTTTCATCGTGATCTTTTTAGAGCTGTTTTGACGGTCATGCTAGCAAAGGCTAGCCAATATTCACCAGCGGTCATCTTTCATCGTGATCTTTTTTTATCCCTTTCATGCTAGCAAAGGCTAGCCAATATTCACCAGAGGTCATCTTTCATCGTGATCTTTTTTTATCCCTTTCCTCCCAAGAGTTATTTTCATGCTCACTACACCTTAAGCTATTGAAAGCCTGCATTGCTCAATGAATAACAAGAATCACAGTCATGAGAGCATTCTAAACCTAGATCAATCAAGAAGAAAATTACTTAATATTTCTCTATATAAATTTCTATCTTCACAAAAAAGAGAAGATAAAACTCTAATTCTAATGACCATTTTCCATGTTAAAGGTGCTCCTATTTGCAGCCGCCGCCCAAGCCCTCCCGCCAAAGGTTCCCCCTTTTCTCTACTTCTCAGCACCTCATTCTGTACAAAGCCTTTGGGCACTCCTACAATCAACTTCTGGCATTGTGCACGACGTATAATGGGCTCACGTTACGTTGAGAGAATTCAACCACAATTTGCTAGAAATTAGCCGTTAGTATCCTCAAAGCCTCTTATCCCGGTAGGCGTTAATGCCCACAACCACAAAGCCACGAGGAGAGCCTAGCGTTGATGTTGTGTTAATGACAGTAGCAGGCAAGAACCTTGCCTGAACTGTCTAGTCATGACCATCATCTCCAAATCTGCCTGTACCCACCCGAGGGCTCCCTACTAAGTTGCAGGCAATCGACCACAATGCGGCAGACCATTTGCCCGCTCAATCACCACCAGGGACATACATAAATCATACTCAACACTCAGATATGCATCTAGTGCCATTTCTAATCACAATAGTCGCCTGCTTGGATCCGAGAATCAAAGTGCAAATAGCATAAAGAGTTACTCCGAACCTCATGTACGCAGTGCTCAACGGCAAGTCGGGCAGAGAGATCGTGGGAAGTCTGGATGGCAGAGTCCCAGAGACCATCGTGGGCGGGAAAGGCTCCGTAGTACGAGCCCAGCTCCTCCAGTCTCCTGGCAAGAAGTAAGAAGTGTCGCCCTTCCTCCTGGGCCACTTTAACAAAATCGGTGAAGAAATCCCTAGGCATCGATTCCTTCCTGCCAAACCGAGCAATGATGTCCCACGAGAGATCGATTGCCCAGCTCTCCGTGTGGACGAGGCTGTGCAGCATGGTCTGGCGACTCTGCAAGCTTCCCCCCTTCCCCAGCTTGGGCATTAGACTGGGAGCAACCAGCCTTACCTGTATGAGTCGAAGCAGCATTAGAACGAGTTGGTTAATGATTAGGGCATAAGAGCAGTGTGTAGAAGAAGCGGACATTGGAGAGACGGGCTGGGCGATTGGGAACAGAGAGATCTTCATCTTGACGGAAAGGAATGGAGATTTCGCCTTGCAGCCAGCGATTGGCGGCGATGTTGCCGAGCCTGGCCTTATCTACGGGATCCGGCGTGTTTAGCACCTCAAGCGCTGCCTCGAGGAGAGTCTCAGGGCCGGCCATCTTTCGGCTGCCTGAATGGTCGCCGCTTACAAATTTTCCTATATTAGGGGGAGGAAAAATGAAAAAAATTACTGCATTAGTGGTCCTCTTCTAGTTTTGCATTAGTACTTGAATTAGATTATGCCAAATGAATATCGATGCATTAAATTATTTTTTTTATTAAGAGAGGATACTTTTACACGTAACAGATTCTGATTAAAGTCTTCATGCAAAACTCATGATAGGAACTAGGTACTTTTACACGACATATAATTTGATAGTTTAGATCCTCAGAACATTAATTTTTTCATCAATGTACATACCACACAAAACTTATGTACCCCTCATTCTTGCTCTCTTCCAAAACCCTCGCCTACATCCTCTTCTTTTGTCACCCAAAACCTTCGCCTTCGTGATCGAACTCCCCCACAATACAGTCTCATATATAACTAACTAGGAAGGCAACGACGGGATCACGGTATACAGAGACTTGAAACTTCCATCTTCCTCTTCCTATCGTTCACACATACCCGCAACCAATGAGGAAGGTAACCCTCGTCTTCCTCACCCTTGCTCCCTGATACTGTCGCACATCAACTTCTCTAATTCTCGTAAATCCATATCCCAAGGGGATTTCTAACCTTAGATTTAAGGCAAATATAAGATAATTGGGATTTAAGAATCGATAGGATTTGGAGATGTCGTTTATGGTTTGGTTATCAAATTGTAACTAAATATTATTCTAATCATATAGTTATAAATTCAGAGGATAATCGGGACTTAAGAATCGATAGGATTTGGAGATGTAGTTTATGGTTTGGTTATCAAATTATAACTAAATATTATTCTAATCATATAGTTATAAATTATTTCTTTTGGAAAAATTTTAGTAAATGACAATAAAAATAATAGTAATATGTGAAGTAGGTTACACCTAATTTGATGAACAAGTAAGTTTATTGCATAACTATTTATATTTGAATTCTAATTGTGTTGGGTTGCTAGTTACGTTGGTTGCTGCTTAGAATTATCTTTTTGGTCTTCTTGAGGTAAGTAACAATCTTTTATTGGAGGATAAATGTATCATTCTTCATTAAGGGTGTTAATCATTGTTGTTTGTAGTGTTTTCATAATTATTTCATTGGATTGATAGTCTTATCTCGGTTCATCAATTATAATTATTATGTTGCATTTTTATATGTTTCTATTATTGCTCATAATGATGCAACCAACTGTCTAAAAACATTAATATAAAATGTTTGCATATTTGAATTAATCCATTAATTATGATATTGCATTTTCTTGCACTCTATTGGTATGAAATTGCATATGAATTCCTGTCATATCACAAATCGAGTGTAAAGTAGCATACTTTTTACATATTATACATGAAAAAATATTGGATATGCTTGTGTGTGATATTGTCTAAGTCAAGAAAACCTTTTGAATATTGGTTAGTCGGGCGTATGGACCCATAAAGTGTCGAATCTATAGGAAATTGTTGAGTTTCCTTGGATTGGTATTTGACATTCCTTATTTCAGATTGTCTATTAAAACTGACTATATAAATATAAATGAAAAGCATAATAATAAGAAACTTAATTGCATGTTTTCTTATGATATTTTGGTATATTTAGTGTGCCGTTTTTTTTTTTTTTTGTTTCATGACGTTATATAAGTGTGCCATTTTTTTTCATGATGTTATATATGCACAAAGTACTTGTTTCTATTTGTTGTTCATACTGTATGTCCCATTTGTTTGTTGTTTATGTCTTAATAAATAGTTTTTACTTATTGCGTTTGTTTGTCAAATTCATTATTTAATATTTTTACATAACAATTTCTATTTAACCACTAGTAGGACCGTCACCACTAGAACAGACTTTTCAACTTAAGGTTTTCTCATCACAGTACTTTTTATGTATTTGTTTTAGCTATTGTATTTTTCCTTATTGGGCCTAGATAGTTGCTTAATGTCATCATTTCTAAGTTGATTCAACTAGTTTTTTATTTTTAATATGTTGTATCATTTAACTTTTCAATATTAATAAAATTTACATTTTTTTAAAAACTTTCATACAAGTATTTATATGAAAATACAAAATATATTTATTTAATTTTATCATGCCCTGCGTTGCCGGAGTGTACCGCCTTTCGAACCCAAAGTGTGACAAAGACTCACTCATAATGTCAAACATACCTCTACTCCCCCAATCTCATCATCCCATGCGAGTCGATGTTTTCTTATAGCTACAACAACTATATTTGACCCCCTTCCTCTCATGAGGTTGCTCGAAGATGGCAAGCATGTATGCTTACATTGAGTTCATGCTTTTCTGCCCCTCAACTCTTGTCGCCGATGAGTTAGAGTAGCCTAACCCGTCATTTGCCTCCTACTAACTAATTTGCAGGGTGGCGCGGTGTGAAAACATTATTTTTGGTGTTTGTATAACGCATTGTGTACATGTTTAATAAGACGTGGCGTGGTTTATTACCCACTTCAAGCCTCGACTCCCCACCGACATTCCGCATTTTGTTGTTGGACTTATACTCTCGTAGACCCTCTCATCTCACATCCACCATCACTCCACATATTACTCTAACGTGAGCTTTTGTCATTTCATTTCGAATAAATCTACGGATCACTCATGCGGTTTAGTAAACTAGAACTAGAGGACATCAAGAAATGCCTCAAAGTTACCAAACCCTAACAGAACACCTCGCTTCGCCTTTCAGTTATAACATGATTTATATAAGTAGTAAAACACAATTCTAGTATATTAATGCATCCAATACTTAAAATTTAACATTTATTTACATAACATCCAAATATTTAATATTATGTAAAAATATTAATATTAATTTTTTAAAGTGATAATACATTTTGGAGTGTGATTAAGACACTAAGCATGGAAACATTAAATGTTGGATATTAAACTATTTAGAAATTGTATATTATGGGTGCAATTTTCATAGAAATTTATGGTATATATGTAAATTTCCCAACATCAATTAAAGATGATGGCCGGGCATGCTTCGAAAAGATTTCGCTGTTCATGTTCTGTATCGTTTCCGCCGTCGTCTCAACTCTCGACCGAACTTCTGCCTCGGCGGCGCAACTGCGAGGTAAATCCTGAACCCTCAACTGCAAAGTTGCTCCTTTCTTCCTCATCTTAATTTATGGAGAATGAGAAAGCCATT